AAAAAAAAAAAAAAAAAAAAATCACACTAACCTCCTATTTCCCCTATTTCTCCTATTTCTGGCAGGCAAGGAGTACTTGGCAATAGCACGCCAGTAGCCAGCCTGGGAAAATCAGCTGTGCCACGTTCCTGTCCCCAGCCCTGGGCAGCTGAGTGCCACTGCTGGGGCACCAACAGCCTGCATGGTACAGGGCCCCTGTGCTGGGGGCTGGGGGTGTCTGGGGGTTATGAGAGGAGCAGGAGAAGGTGGGTGCCTGGGCCCCTGATGGCTCAGGACCACAACAGCAGATTTTCCTCTCCAGATCTCACTGTGCTGGGTAACGAGCTTTTGCAAAAGCAGCAAACCTCGTCCTTGCTTATATATTGAGGGGCTGAGAGGGGTGGGGGGCATTTTTCTGTCCTCCCCTTCAAAGTGCTGTCCTTCTGAACTGCTATTGACAAGCTCACTCCTTTCTGACAGCCCTCACGGGCGCCCGTGACGTGGTTTCTTTTCCGTTGTAGGTAGTCCCGAGGCAGAGCTGAGCGCAGGGAGGGAGAACAAGCGGAATATGAGCGAGAACAGCCACATCCCATGCTCGGCCGCAGGCTGCCAAGAACCGCATTTCTCGGGCTCACAGCCGGCCACGCTGGCCTGCGGCGACGGCGACGAGCAGCTCAGCCAGGCTCCGGAGCCTGCCAGCGGGAGAGCCAGCCCCCGGCAGGACGCTCGGCCCTCCCCGGCAGCGGAGGGGGAGCGCGGGGGCCCGGGGAACGGAGATCTGGGAGCGGCGGCGGAGCCGGGCGAGAGGCCGGGAGCGGGGACGGACGGCAGCCGTGCGAGCGGCCCGGAGCAGGGCCCGGCAGCGAACGGCGGGGAGGCAGAGCTGGCCACCGGGCAGGAGGAGGGGGGCGAGCCCGGCGGGGGCAGCGCGGATCCCGGAGAGAGGGGCTCCCCCGGCCAGGACAGACCCAGTGAAGCCCTCAGCGAGGAGCGGCGCCGCAGCAGCCTGGGCTCCTCAGAAGCTCTGGGTGCCGAGGAGCCCGAGGAGCCGTTTGGGTGAGTGTGAAGCCGTTGTAAGGTCGGCTCAGCTCTGGTTTGTGTGTGTTGTTTCTCGAGCCTCCTTGGTTCCAGTTATTCTGCCCACGTGTAACTCATCAATTTAAAAAGCTGCAGCTGCTCTTATGGCTGACTGTGGCTTTTCACTCTTTTTCTCCCTGTGCTTCTCACACTGCTTTTCCCTGTTACAAATGCAGAAAAGCTGTGATTATAGACAGTGTCTGCCCACAGAGGCACTGAAGTGAAGGAGAAGCTTTAGGGATGTCAGGGGTGCTGGTTGTGCTCACTTTGGGGGTGTGCCACTTCCAAGTTGAAGATTCAGCTGCAGCACTTACGGTAGATTTACCCAAGATAACTTAGGGCAAGCACGGCAGCTGGGGGATGATGAGAAGCAGGGCTTGCCCAGGAGCCTGGTATGCCCTGGAAGTCCCTGGCAGCGTGGCTCACTTGGGCAGTCCCTGGGGCTAGCAGGCTACAACTTTGCGTTAAAAGGACGGTGCTGTTATTAAGAGAGGTCAAGACACTGAGCTTTGCTCCCTGCTGCACCTGTAGCAGGTGTTACCAGAGCCTGGGTGGCACAGGCATAGCAGTGAGAGGACAGAGACACGAGTGTCACCCTGTTCTGAAGAGCCTGAGACAAACCAGCACGTGTGCCATGTTCTCCGGTCTCTGTGTCCTCTGTACTGGCAGCCTGTTTTCACGGGAGAACGCTCCAGGGCTGGGGGACACTCACATCAGTGCAATGTCCACAGCTGATTTTATGCCTCTGTAAGTGCCAAGACTCCCTGGTGCTCTGCAGGTTGGGGGCTGAGGGGAAATGACTGGTCAATGGGATGAGGTGGGGTGCTTCCAGTGACATCCCTGTGGGAGGAGTTTTGCCACCAGAAATCATCTAGGGGCCTGCATTGTAGCCAGCTGGTGTTTATGGCTGCTGTGAATCTTGTTGCCCTGCCTGTGTACCTACTGTGGCACAGGAAGGATGCTGCAAGCAGGAGGGGGCTGGAGAAGAGCAGAAGTTGTCACAGAGGAGCTTGGCCTTCTTAAGAAAATGTGTGAAAGGGAGAGGGTGGCCAAGAGGGGCCTGTGAATCACCTCTAGTTTAGTCCAGAGCAGGCTTCAGGCTGAGCCGTTTGTTCGGAGCGCTGTCTGGAGTGTAGGCAGGAGTGTCAGCAGAGCTGGGAAGCCGCACAGCGCGTGGGCTGACGACAGGCATCCCTGATTCATTGCACCTCCAGAGTTGAACAGGCTCCCCTGCAAAAAGCTGCTGGTTTCATTTACCCAAGGCCCCCACCAAGAAGGAGCAGCACTGTTCCAACAAGCACAATTGAAGGTACTGAAGAAGAGAGGAAGAGTGTCCAATGCAGACTGTTGATATCCTGAGAACTGGAGGAGTCCACCCCCAGGCAGGTCCCACGAGCCCTTTAAGCTATGTGGTCAGATCTTAGATGTCTGCAAGTCTCTCGGGTTGCAAGGGAATCGTATTTTCTCGGTATGTGGCTCCCTGGTAGAGATTGTGAGTTCAAGACGAATCTAAGGGTGGCCAGTGAATGCTGCTACAATCACTGAAAGTGCAATTATTTTAAGGTTCTAGAGCATGAATTGGGAGAACTGGCAGGCTGAGGATCTGGAGATGATGCAACATGACTGGGCTCTGCACGCACAGCCCATGATCTTATGCTCTAAACATATTTACTTGGATAGCAAATAAGTCTTTTGGGAAGCTGAATGCGCAAGGGATAAGTCACGCATTATTCAAAGGCAGAAGGGCAGCTGGAAAACTTCAGGGACACAGCTGAAATCTGGGAATACACACACTGCCTAAAATTGGGTTAGCTCACTGTTTTTGAGCTCCTTAGTACTTTGACCAGCTATCTTTAGGCTAAATGACAGAAGCATATGGCTGGGCCAAACACAGCATGGAGCTGGTCTTTCCTGACCGACTGTCTGGCTCTCCTAGATCAGTGTGGGTCAGGAGTAACAAAGATGACAGATGGATCGAGGCACTGAGAAGTAACTGTCATCTTGCATCATCTCTGAGTTTCCCCAGTTCTTTCTTTACTCTCCTTCAGTATGTTGCTGCTTCTGTTATGACCCGTTCTGGATATAGTAGAACCTGGGGTTTCTCTGTCTCTGGCCTAATGTTTTACCGATGAGCAGTCAACTATTCATTCCTGGGAATAAATAATTTATAATTTGCATGTTTTGGTACTCATATGATGCATTTTGTCCCTGCATTTAAAGTGCTTTACAAGAAGGGGTTGCAAGGTCCTTCCCGCTGCAAGGTTCTTCCCACTGAATCACTAGAGAAAAAGGAGAAAAAAGTCAACTGAGGTCATCAACTCCATGGTTGATCTGGAGAAAGAAAGCACGATTGACCCACTGAAGGTAGATTTGTGCATCAATGCAGGAAATGGTTGTTGAAAAGGTCCAGGAAATAAAGACAAAGCTTTAAATCTTGTGCTGCAGTTCTCATTAACTGGATCCCTTTTACACGCTTTCTAGTTTATCCCATTGGCATACCAATATACCATTTGTCAAAGCCACATTTTGTGATCATTGTACGTGTGTTGCCTATAGGTATTTCACCTTCCCAGAAGCCCCCAACATTGGCTCTGCTGAGCGCAGGGAGGTCACAGCTCTGCAGTCAAACTGAGAGTTTCACGAGTGAATGACACTCTCTGCTTTCAGTCCCAGAAATCATGCAATAAGGTCAAACTTGTTAGCAGAGGAATCCCCACCTTTGGTTTGTAGATACATCTAGTACCCGCAGGTTTGGGGCTGCTGCCTTGCCCACACATTTCCTCCCATGGCAACATATAGTCATTGAGCAATTCAAATTACATTAAATAAAGTTTCAGACAGACTTCACGGAAAGCCTGTGGTGCACGGGCAAGAAAGTCCTGATTTCCATCATGTCCTTCTCTGACAGACCTCCCCACTCCACCAACACAGCAAACTAGGTTCTTCTTTATTACAGCTAATTAACCAGTGAGAAGTGAAATATAAACAACTCAGTGCATAAAAACCCAGTACGGTTCAGCTGCAATAATAACCGAGTGCATTGCTCTGCATGCCTCGCCGTAAGCAATAAAACAGCATTTCAGAGATGACTGGGAAAAGCAGCACAGGCAATTAGATACAGTGGTGCTTCAATTCACTCACAAAACCTTGTGATTACAATGCAAATAAATATTCGGCTCCTTATTTAAGTAAAGCAATTGCCTACCCCACTGTGTAATAAGTATGTGACACTTCTCTGTAGGGAGGCTATGTCGAGTTCATTCACACAAGTGAGGTCTTCCGCTGTCTCCCACCTCAGCCTGCCTGGCTTTGCTTGAATTAGCTGGAGACAGTGCTCCTGGGCTGGTGTAAGCTCTTTGTCCTCTGTCTTCTCTGGGATGATGCTAAGAGAAATGCGATGTGCCTGACTTGTTGGTGCCCACTGACTCACCCAGGACCACAGCTCTTTCCTGTTCTTTGCGCTCTGTCCCACGCAGCCTTTGCTGGAGCATTTGTAGGGACACAGGCTTTTTCACTTTGTTGCCTGCTCTATGAGTTGGGCTCAAGGGATAAATAAAGGGCTGGAAAATAGAAGCTTTATGGTGTGAGCAGCTAATGGAAGTGACTCTGTTCAGTGTGGTGAGAGAGCAGGAACTGTCTGGTTTGGGATTATGGCAATGTGGGACCTGCTAAGTAATATCCAGGAGGTGCAGGGCTTGAAGGATCTTGATCGGTTTGATACCCAGAAGCAGCCAGGAGAATACCTACAGGCATAGCTGAAGTGCACAACACCCCTGGAAACACATGCTGTGCACCAAACCTCATGGGGTTGGGCCAGGGCAGGTCCTCCCGCATGGTGCTCCTGCACAAAGACGTGCTGGTGATGGGAGTGAAGCAATGCAGGCCAAGGGGTGGTGTGGTGGCTCTCATAGAGGATCTGGGGAAACTACAAAGGCTCAGGGTTTTTCCTTGGTGTGAGGAGTACATAGACCCTCTGTAGGGGAGGGGACATGGAAGTTCACTGGGGATGAGAGCTGTTGCAAGACGTTTGGCAATGGGACAAGCTTCCAAGGCAGGTCTGTAATTCCTACCACTGAGTGCAGCTGAAGCTGTTAAGTCCTTCCTGTCACAAGGGATGAGGTTTTTAAACTTTGTAGAAGGAGGAGATCTTTTCTCCACACAAAGTTATGACCGGGCACTGCATTTCACCCTGCAGGCATGGATGGATGGATTTGTAAAGACAAGCATTCCTGAGCATGAGGGGTCTTTGGGGTGTAACAGATAGTCTGTGGAGCTGCTGCTGTCTGATTAGTTTCTGCTTACGTCTGGCTTGCTGCATGGCTGGCTCTGGTGAACTGGGTGAGAGTTTTCTGAAGCCCTGAGCTCCTGGAATCAAGGGATTATATGCGTCTATGGATTCATGCAAGCTTTTACCCATGAGGTTGCAGAGCTAGGTTTGAAAACATAGTCAGGTTCAGACACAGGTATCATGAACATAGTGTAAGCCTCTAGGTGTCTTCCTCCTTGCACAGCCCTTCAGGTGGGTCTATCCTGTTCCCTGCATTGGGATCCCCTGTTCCTGCCGCAGCTCACCAGCCTGCTAGCCTGGCATCCTGCATCATGAAGAAGGGAGCATACTGACCCACTTGGGTTCTTCAGACTCTTGGGATCCTGAGAAATAAGAAACCTGAGAACACTGGTTTGTCCTCTACTCTTCAGTGGCCATTGCCCTGCCATGTTAGAAGCAGGAAAATCTTCCTTCATCCAAATCCTTCCCTAATTGCTGACCTGTGCCTGCTTCTCGCTGCAGCAGTGGGGCTATGTGCACCTCTGTCCTTGCAGTCTTCCCTCCTTACACTGGTTTTCTGTTCGTTGTCCACAGTTTCCCGTCTTGTGCTATGACTGTCTTTCATTCTTGTAGATTCTTGGAGGCAGGAGATCCCTGTTGGCAGAGAACCTCCTATCCTACACTGGCTGTAGCAAATAAGTGTGATAACCTTTAAGACTTCCTTATGTGAAGGGATGCCAGGTCCAATTTTATTGCCTTCAGTTAATGCTCATGGAAATGCTGAGTTCTTGCTGCCATGCTGATGAGGGTGCTGAAGGACAACTCGTCCATGTGAGGCATGGTGTATCCTGTGCTGCCCATGAGAACTGGCTGCTCCACAAAAATGGCAAGGTGTACATTCCCTAGCCCTTAGGGCCACCTTGTCCTGAAATAGCCAGCCATCTTCCACTCTGCCTGAGGCATTTTGAAGGGCTAGGATTTCCAGGAATGGATGACACTACATCGGTATATCTGAACGAGTAAATTCAGGGCCTTATTAACCTTCTTTCTTCAGGGGCAGCCTTTCCTCCTTGGTACTTGCTTAGCTGTGCAGCAGAAATACAGGCAAGTCCTTCCTGCCTTGAGAGAAGCAAGTATGCACCCCAGATCAGTAATGGTATGGGTAGACCTGGCTTTAGGGGTCCATTGAGCCTATGCCTAGGCATGGCAGTGATGTTCAGAATAGCTCTGGCCCGGGGCATCTGTAAGCTGCAGATGGAGCTGGGAGCTGGAAACATGTGGTTGGCTGTGGGCTGGGCTGTCAGGAGTGGTTGCTTTGCTTTCCCTGTTCTCTGCTGACTGCTGGTGGAGATGGGATACAAGGCTGTACCTTTCTTCCTCTCTTTACTTTTGCTATAAGTGATTCCATGGAGTGTGGTGTGTGGCTCACTTTCCCCACCTAAAAGACTGAACTGTTTTGTAAAGTGCATTCAGAAGTGTCCAAATTCCTAGGAAACACTTTCATAGCTCTGGCATGTCTGGCTCACGAGTGCTTTGCTGCCTCTGAGCTAGAGCCGCTCCCTTCCAAGGTCCATTTCCAATCTCTTCTGTGCCACATGATGCTCTGCAAGGCTGGGAGTGGGCTGACACTGGCACCCAGTAGGAACCATTACTAACAGTATATGGATTTGGGCATGCACAGGTACAGGATCTCCTTAGCTGGCACAAGAAACTTGCTCATCCCCAATCCACCCCCAGAATTCAGCTCTGGGAAATGTTGTCTGCTGCAAAGGGAGGCCGTGCTCATTGGGAGAGGCACTAGGGCCCAGCCATGACATTGACACAGGGTTTCCAAACAGAAATAACCATAGTTATTATAACCATGAGGAGGTGCAGCAACTAAGCAACAACTAAGCAGCAACTAAGCACCTGTCCTTGTGCTTGTTCACCACCCTCCCCTATGAGATGAGGGAGAGAGTCAGAAGCGCAAAAGCAAGAAGACTTATGGGTCAAGATAAAAGCAGTTTAGTAAATGGAGAAGAGAGGAAAAAAAAACGACACCAGTGATACAAAAAGCAATCATTCACCACCTCCCAGCAGCAGAGTGATGCCCAGCCGGTCTCTGAGCAATGGCCACTTTGAAAGACCAAACCCACATTTTTTTTCTTTTTTTTTTTTCTTTTTCCTGAGCATGAGATTATATGGAATGATATATCCCTTTGGTCAGTTCAGGTCAGCTGTCACATCTGTGTTCCCTCCGAGCCTCTTGCCTACCCAGAGACTGCTTGGTGGGAAGTGAAAAGTAGAGGAAGTCTTGATGCTGTGCAGGCACATTCAGCAATATACGAGTGCATTATCAACACTGTTTTAGCGCAACTCTAAACCACAGCACTGTATGTGCTGCTGTGAAGGAAGTTAACTCCATCACAGGCGGAGGAAAAGCAGCTTACTCTTCCCTTAACTTTCATCCGTATCACAGAATGAAGTGCCTGGTTCTGACAAAGCAGATGACAGCAGCGTCTGCTGGAAGCGGGGAGGCAGGCTTCACCTGAGAAGCCCGGGGTATTTTAGGCAGGTCCTTGCAGCCTGGTCTATTTCAGGAGGCACTGGGTCCTCCCAGCTCCAGAGGGCTCCCAGTGCAGTGAGTGTTGCTGGATTTGACTCAGATGAATTCTCCCAGTGGGGGTTCACATTGAAATGTACACTGGAATGAATGCCCCTGCATTCAAAGCCAAACAGAGCTGTGGTTGCTGATGGTCATCCATGTATACCTGGAACCTAGGCCTGTAGGTTGATGCATTTCGCAGCCTCCTGTCCTGCCTGTAATGCTCTGCCTGAATCCCACAGGCTGGCTGTAAAGCAGCATGGAGCCTCCCCTGCCTGGGTATATGTCCATCACCTTTTACATCCCTCTTAGTGGAAAGGAAACTATTTTGGGGTGTCTTGCACTTCTAGGGTGCCTCATCTAAGAAAAAAGACTGAAGTTACAGCCTATTAATTGCTCCCTAAAAGCTTCTGCTTTTTCTCCGCTAAAAAAGGGATCAAGGACATTTGCTGCCAGCTTCCAAAGTTAGATGAAATGTCCTTGATCTTAAGGATTTTCATGGTTTTGAAGTAGCCATAATTGGAGCACTCGAAGGGAGAGATAACCTGCAGATTAAGTCCATTCTGGCAGTGGATCCAGTAGCCAGTGTCAGATGCAAATGCCTCCAGTTCTGGCCTTTTACTGGGGCATAACCAAATTAAGGGTTGGCTGGGTTTTATGCTCATCATAAAACCCTGCCTTTTTCATCTCTAGAAGCTTGTAATAAAATTGGGAACCAGGCAGGTTATATCACAGAAAGGTCCCAAGGGCCTATAATCACAGCATCCATTTTTGCCTCTTCTCTTGCCTCCTAGCTCCAAGTGGAACAATGCAAGCAATTACCTTGACATTATTTTCTATGTGTCCCCTTTTGGTCCAGGTTTGCTTCTGGAGATGCCAAGCTGAGCTTCAGTGACGATGACAAGGAACATTTTCAATTCAAAGACATCAGGGATGGGTTCAGCTCGACCTTTGAGAAGATTGTTGAGTCTGACCTTATGAAGGGTACATACTACAGCAGCTTGGATTCGTTGGATGTCCTCTCTCTCACAGATGAGACAGACAGCTGTGTCAGTTTTGAGGCCCCACTCACCCCATTGATCCAGCAAAGAGTCAAGGAAAGCCCAGAGCTCTTGGAGCAGAAACTGGTAGCCCAGCAGAGAGAAGTCCTTCATCACATGGCTGCTGATAAGCAAGAACAGGCAGCAGCAAAGCCAGTGGAGGGAGATTTTGGGAGCCCTCTCAGGCACTCAATTACCAGCAGCAGGTCGGAGAACGTGCTCAGTCGGTTGTCCTTGAAGAGTATCCCAAATGGGTTCCACGTAGAAGGGTCGGAGGAAGACACCACCAAGATCATTAACTCCATCAGGTAAGGCAGGCTGGGAGTTCCTTGGGCAAAGGGGTCCCAGTCCAGGAGCACAGCTCAGAGGACATGATAGAAGTAGAGCTGCTTTTTTTCCCCTCATGCTTCCTCTCATGTGCTGTCATGGCAGAGGCCAAACACAAACAGGAAAATCTTTCCTATCTGTAGGTTAGGACTGCAGCTGGAGACCAAGGTCTCATGGCATGCAACCAACAAGTCCAAGGTCAACCTCTGTCTGAATCTTCCTTATTCTCAAACCCAGACCCCTAATCTACTTGTGAGCTGCAGAGTCCTGTAGGAGCCCTGTGAGCCCAAGAAAAGGCAAGACTCTGCCCTTGGTGTTCATTTTTGCTCTGGAGGTCACCACCATTCCTCACAAATCCCATCTGTTCTTACAGCAGGCAAAGCCAAGGCTTCTCTGGGTAGGCCACAGCCATGTCTGCCTGATATCTGCAAAAGCCCTTAGCAGGTTGGAGGCAGTCAAGCACACCCCCAAGTATGCTCTGAAGTGCAGAGAAACCTCAAGGTTTCACTTAGGACTGGGTGCCTCCATAGAGGCTTCCATAAAGGTTCTTCTGCAGGCAGTGAGGCAGTGAGAAGATCAGCAGAGGCTTCATCCTCTGATCCAACTCAGGCCCAAACCCTCGTCCTTGGGAGGCAGCAGCTCATCTGCAGGGCAGTTCCTTGCAGAGGAAGCCAGGTGATGAGCAGCCAGGTCATGGGAGAGCTGGAGTAAGGAGGTATGTCTAGCTAGCTATCAAGCCTTCATGATCCACACCACTCAAAATGGGCAAATAGGTTCCATAATACTATAACTGGTTTCGGGCAAGATAATAGACATGCAGGCCCACCTACACAATGCCAGTGGGTCTGCTCAGCCTGTTGACTGTGGCAACAGCCAGCAGCTGGGAGAGGAGCAGCCCACCAGGGACAGCAGGTCCGCTGTCAGTCCCACTGGCATGATTTGTACAAGTGCAGTTTCTCATCCTTGAAAATACTCTTAACTGAAAAGCATAACATCCCTATCCCTAAGATTTCCTAGATGTCCACATCTCTGAAAGAGCTTGGTATCCTTTTCTATACCAGTGGAGAGAGAGGAAGCTTAAAAAGGTGTTGGGGCTGCTTGCTTTGAATGGATACATCTTCATTTCTCAGTGAGAAGTCACCTTCTTTTCAACCTTTTTTTTTTCAAATTTGAAATTAAACTGTACTATTTCATTTGATCTGAAATGAGAGAGGGTTTGAGCAATGTCCAATTCACAAACAAGTTGTTGTTTTTTCGTATTTTCGGTTAGGACAAGAAGAAATCAAAATATGGAACTTTCTGTAGTTTCATGGTGTTGCATTGCTGCTCCTTGAATTGTTTTTTTGTTTCTGTGTAGTGACGCCAGCTTGAAAGACGTGCTGTCAGACTCTGACTCTGACATGGGCAGCATGGAGCAGCTTGACCAGGGCAGCACAGACACGTTAGCAAACGGCTGCAGGGTGGATAGCGAGGCTGCCAAGAGGCTGGCCAAGCGCCTCTACAACCTCGAAGGGTTCAAGCGCTGCGATGTGGCACGCCAGCTTGGGAAAAAGTAAGTGGAACTTTGGGTTGCAGCCAACCCTACAAGGGGGTCGACTGAGATGGCAGCATTGAGCACGGCCAGCAGAAACAGCTGTGGTAGGGAGGTTCTGGGGAGCAGTGGTCATTCTGGGAGGACAGGTCAAAGGCAGGAAGGGACAAGCCTGCTGTCACCAGGGCTTTAAGGGTGGAGTTGGGGCTGTTGAAGATCCTTCCAGTTGAAACTGGTCCAAGTCCAATGCCCTTGAAATCTGAATCCTACAAGTTGCTCGCATGTACTGGGCATTAACTGCCACAAGCTGCTGCCCGCCAGAACGAAGAGTTCCCTGTGTTTGGTAAGGGCTCAGCAAGACCCTGCCTAAAGTAATCCCCAGGCTGAAGGGTTTGGGATCCACACCTGAACCTACACTGGGCTCCCTACCAGTCTCCAGGTTTTTAATGTGTGCACCTCAAAATCTTCTTGCTGCAGTGTCCCCTGACTCAGTCTGTACAGATGACATGAAGGGTTTGGTGGAGAGCCAGGTACATGCCAAAAGTCCAAGCACCTCAGCTGATAGGTTTGTCTGGGTAAGGCAGAAGGAAAATAAAACATGTTTATTCAAAAATGAGAGAGTCTCTAAGATACAGAGTAACAGAAATGAGTGTAGCAGTTAGCAGATTATTTTAAGATGCTAGTGGGTGTGAGGACACCAATCCACATCTTCCTTCTCCTGGATCAGATATAACCTGTGTTGCTGGGTTTTTTTGATGTACTTGCAATGTCTTACTCTTCTCTGGATGAGCAGGACACAAATGTCCCTCAGCAAATACCCCAGCTTTCAGTACCAAGGATTGTCTGTGACTCCCAGCTTAGTCCTGGCACAGAAGGAGCCCACAAAGTATCTCCTTGAGAGAATCTTTGTATCATCTGGCAGCAACCTTGTTCTTCTCTTTTGCTCTGGTTCTTGTGCCAGGTGCATTGCTGGTTGCTGCTCCCTCACATCTAGCATCTTCACCTTTCTTGCAAATTTGCCATGCCAGCTTACTGAATGGGGGAAGTTTAAGCAATTGATCTCTGGGGGTGCATCTGAGTGTGTCCCTTTGCTAGTTCCTGCAATCCTGACTCATACCTGCAATACGCACACCTTGGAAAGCTGTTTGGTGACCCACATTTGGGAGTTGACATAGCCTTTAAAAGAGAATTTCTGTTTTGATTGGCTGGGTTTTTGACATCTGAATAATTTCCCAGCACAAGAACTGGATACAGCTGCAGGCCCTTGAATCAAGCAAGCAGATTTGCAGAGCAGGAAAAGAAAAAGGATGAAGTGTGTTTCAAATTGGTCTTGCTCGCTTAAGACCATGTAAGACGAACCTGCAGTGGTGGGAGCAGGGTAAGTTTAAGTCATGCTTTCAGGCCAGCTTCATGTAGGAGGTGGACTGGCTAGGAGGGTTGTTCAAAAAGTAAAATCTTAAAAATTAGTTAAAGCTTTTTAACTCATTTTAACCCCCCCCCCCCTTTTTTTTTTTTTTCTTTGTGAATACTGGCAATTTTCTCTGGCAAATTTTTCTGGAAAAAAAACAACCACCAAAAAATAAAAAACAAAGCAAGCCAAAAACAATTCTTCCTTGTCAAACACGTAGAAAAGGCTTGATGAACAAGGAATTGGAGGGTGGGTATCTCCAAATACTTTATTTCCAGCAGACACAATTCTGTGAAGTTAATCTCAAATCCAGAAATTATCTTTGTCTTTTTATCTGTGTTTTGGCAACTGAACCCTCCATGGAAGATTCTTGTTCCTGGGTTTGTCTGTGGCTTTGTCTCAGCTCTGTCACTACCCATGGTCACACATCTCTTGGTGGATGGAGGTTGAACTGTGTCAGCTGCCAGACTTTGAAGATGGTAGGGCCAAGCACTTCCTTTCAAGGTGTTCCAGGAGAGCACTGTGCTCCCAACACCACACAGGCAGCAACAAAGTAGGCAGCAGAGCACTGAGAACTGGGGCGTCTGGCAGTCCCATGGTCAGTATGGCACGGGCATGCAGTGTATTTTCCTCCCCTGGAGATTAGGTGAATTTTATTTAGCCAAACTTCCTATGGACAATTGGTTTTTTTGACCCAAGTGACTGTGGCACAAAAAAAGATTCTGGACTGTACAGCTTGGCTCTGTAGGACAGTGTGATTCAGGCTGCAAAACAACACATATCTGTCCATGTCCAGCCATGTAGGAGTGAAACTGGGAGGTCAGTAAGCACTCTTGGTGCCTGGACCTTTCCAAACTAGGCAGAGAGAGGAAGCATCAAGCTGGAATGTAAGGTGAGAGGAGGTCTGTAGAGCCAGGGGATTCCAGACGTGTCCCCGTGGGAAATGCCGTGTTATTCTTTTGGGCATGTCTCTGTCATTTCTGGGCTGCATGGTGGAAGTATCACTGGTTCCTGCAAGAGGGACTGGGATTGACACAGAGAGAGAGAATGAGGAAACCAGAGCAAAGACCTAAACTCACCTTAGTGTACACCATGATCTTGCCCTGGCCAGTGTTGGAGCTCTGTGTCCCAGGCATGCCTGGGGCATGTTAACTGGCTCTGGAGCTCAGGGAGAAGCGTCCATCAATGTCACCGAGCCCCTGGCTAGACATAGGAATTTGTTGCTTCCTAGGGGCTGGCTGCATTCATGTGTCCTGGAATACTGTCCAGTTCCCTTGGCAGAGATGGCAATGCCTGCCTGGAGCTTTTCCAAGCAAAGAGGAACCAAGTGAGGCACATGGGAAGGCACAATAGGCACCCAGGCTGGGTTCCGTTGGCACCACAGCATCTGGCACAAACCACTTGTCCTGAGGGTCACAAATTCCCTATGGACTCCTGGCCTTCAGCAAGACCCAGTGAGCTGAAAGACAGGCAGCAAGGCCTGCCTACCTTCCTGTGCTTCCCTGATGGGAGAGAGTGGGAGGAAGGGGAGCTCCTACCCACCTTCATCCTGCCTTACTATAGGTCTAGTTAAGATTATAAATGAGGATGTAGCTCCCAGTGTAGGCCATGAAGACATTTCAAGGGCAATTCAGCCCACCCAAGATCTGTGCTGGGCTGTAGACATGTTAAGTCTTTTGGCTTTAGGGAGCCTTGGGCAGGGCCAGTCCTTCAAGCCCAGCTTGAGTTAAGTGGGGCGAGATAGTCACCGTTCTGCCCTGTTGATTGCTGCAGTGCTGCAGTAGTTGGCAGTTGTTGCTGTGTACCCAGTGCCCAGAGTGCCCAAGAGGGTCCCCAGGAGACCTGGTAAATAGGTGCCGAAACAGAAGGAATCCGACCTTTTCTTCTGGGAGTCTACAACTGCATCTGTGAAGTGGGACCTGATCTGTGAAAAGGAGAGCACTGGCTAGTTCCCAGCACTGGCATAGGCAATGCACGAGGTCTTCTGCAGACTTAGAGCTAAGAAGATCCCAAAGGAGGTCTGGGGCTTGCTTGTTTCTGCTCATTCTTTGGCACAGCAGTGAAGATGTGGTGACATCTGCTTTCACAAACCTGTGGTCATTTCCTGAATGTCACATTACCTTTCTGTCAAATCCCAGGACAAGTGGAGAGGTCTCCCTGGGAAGCTGGCAGGAATCTGCATGCCAATCATTGTGGCACAGCTTCAGACAGGCTAACCCGGGGGGGGGCGCCATGGGGCCTTGAGCACATGTTCTTCCCCAGAGCAAGCAATCCCAAATGATAAAATTGTTTTATGAGTGTGAGGCCTTGTGGCTTCGTACAGCTTTGAAACAGCCTTCTCTGCAAATTCCAGCACCAATGGTTATGTCCTGCCTCTCAAAACTCAGCCTGGACCTCTCCCATGGAGCTGTCACACTGCTCTGTCTGATCCTGCTATGTGTTGTGCTTCCAAACAGCTTTACAGCATCCACCTTGCAGCAGAAGATGAAACAATGCTGGAGAAAAAGCAATGAATTCCACCTGTAACATGTCCCGGTTTGAAACTGGATGTGCAACACTTAGCAATATGCTTTTCATTTTGTGGAGAGAAGGAAAATGAATTGTATATGGCAAAGGCTGAGCATGTTGAGGTCATCTCCCATTCCTTGCCAGCATTCATTGATTATTCTTGCACTTGTGCTACCTGAGTTGGGCAGACAGAGGAACTTAACAGCATCCATTCTGGCTTTAAAGGCAAGACATCTCCAAGCATCCTTCAGAAATGTGGTTGGGGAATGGTTTTTTGAGTAGCATTCAGGCATGAGCAGGGCCAGAAGCTCAGCTGAGCTATCCCACTCCAGGTCCCAGGGACATCCATCTGGCATGCAAGAAAAGTGCTGTGAAGAGAGGGTGGGATGGGAGCCAATGTGTAGTAAAGAGCAGGAATATTGCAGTAGAAGGAGGGGATATGTCCAGCAATGGGAGAGTATTAGGTAAGAGAAAAGGTGCCAGATGACCACAGGACATCCTTACGGCCTCCTCCCGCTGGCTGGTTTGGAAGGAGGCTCTGCCTGGCCAGCAGCACAGCAGAGGGTAGCACTGGGGCCCACATCTCTCATTCCCAGGTGTCTAGGGCTGGTAGCTGCAGTGCTAGGCTATGGGCGCATTAAGGCACTTTAGAGGTCTTCCAGCAGCACTTTGAGCTAGGAGAAAGTACCCCTGGGTCTGGGATCATGTCTGCAGTGTCTCGTTGGGAGTTTGGGCTGGTCAGGAAACAGCAACCTTCTGTTCCTCTTGTAGATAGTGTCTTCTTCCCTGATGAAAGGGCTGACTACTCCCTCTTTAATTACAGTAACGAATTTAGCAAGTTGGTAGCAGAGGAGTATCTCAGCTTCTTTGACTTCACTGGCCTGACCCTTGACAAAGCACTCAGGTGAGCTGGTCTCTGGCACTCCCGCTTAGGGCCTGGGCTGGACAGAGTGGAGCAGCGCGGTGGGTTTCTCCTCCAGGCTTCCTGATGCTATGGAGGCTGTCCATGTGAAAGGGGCGGGG